TTTGTGTGTGCGTGTACACATACGTGTGTGTGTGTGTGTGTGTGTGTGTGTGTGTGTGTGTGTGTGTGTGTGTGTGTGAGATTAAATTTGCTACAGTGAAAAACCCCCTGTTGTTCAAAAATTTCTTGTTGCAAACATGATTTCGTTGTAGAGGAGTTTCACTGTATCAAACATTTCCCCTTGCGTGTGGTGTGGTGGCCACAGAGTGACAGCTCTGCACCTGGGCCACCGTCATGTGGATCTTGAATTTCTGAATAATATGTGCAACTCTCATTACATTAACCTACTTAAAGATGAGCTTATAGCCTTTATCTGTAACATAGTTTTCTATAATACATTTTCTATTTAATCTCCTGAGACAACACTATTCTTCACTTTTCAGGTGCATGCTAAGTGTGCTCCACACCATCACCCTACAACACGGTGACCTTTTGTTACCCTTCAAATTGGCTGCCTTACTGCTTCAAAGTTTGACCTTGATTGAACATGCGATGTCATTTTTGTCCAAGCCTGTTTCATGCGGGGCTTTGTTCTGTCGAACCACAAATCAAAAGCAATGTCTGGTTTTCATTACTTAATTTTTCATATTCTACTCATCTCATCTCATCTCATCTCATTCTCTTCCGCTTATCCGAGGTTGGGTTGTGGGGGCCGATCTACTGCCAGCAATGCGGACTAAACTCTGACACTGGTCGTACAAGGATCAAACAGCCTTTGCATAGGGTGTCCGATACCCCTTACTAGCGGAGCACCCTACTCAAGATACGCCGGGGTACATGGTCGAACGCCTTTTCCAATTCCACAAAACAAATAATGACTGGTTAGGCAAACTGCCATGCACGTTCGAGGACCGTGTCGAAGGTGTAGAGCTGGTCCACTGCTCCACGGTTAGGATGAAAACCACACTGTTCCTCCTTAATCTGCGACCCCCCTCTCCAGCAGCCCTCAATAGAACTTACCAGGGAGGCTGAGGAATGCGATGCCTCCGTAGTTGGAACATGCATTCTGGTCCCCCTTCTTAAAAAGAGGGACCACCACTCCGGTCTGCCACTGTACCCAATGTCCACGCAATGTTGTACAAGCATGTCAACCAGGGCAGCCCCACAACATCCAGAGCCTTGAGGAACTTCGGGCGGATCTCATACCCCACTAAGATTTTTAATCACCTCGGTGACTTCAACCCCATAGATAAGAGAGTCCCCACGCTCCGCTTCCTCAAAGGAAAGCGTGTAATTGAGGAGGTCTTCAAAGTATTCTCCCCACCGACTCACAACGTCTCGAGTTGAAGTCAGCAGTTCCCTATCTCCACTATAATCAGTTTTTAATACTGCCCTGCTTCCCCACTCTTGAGGCATCGGCTGGTGGACCAGACGTTCCTCAAAGCCACCCGAAATTCATTTTCCATGGCCTCGCTAAAATCCTTCCACACTCAAGTTGCATTCCGTTTGGCCAGCTGGTACCCGTCACCAGCCTCCAGAGTCCCACAGCCCAAATGGGTCCCTTAGGGCTCCTTCTTCAGCTTGATGGCATCCCTTACCGCCAGTTTGGGGATTGCTGCCATGACAGGCTCCGACCACTTTACAGCCACAGCGCCAATCAGCCGCCTCAACAATGGACGTGCAGAACATGGTCCACTCTTCCTCAATGTCCCTTGCCTCTCCCAGGATGTTGGTGAAGTTCTGGAAGAGGTAGGACTTGAAACTCTTTCTGACGGGATTCCCAGCAAACTCTCACGATCTGTGAGCAGTTGACATCTTTGCCCCTCTCTTCACCTGACTGTCCAAAACGTGTGTCCACAAATCCAATGACATATTTACAAAGTTGATTATTTGACTGCGGCCTATGATGTCCTGGTGGCAAGTTCACATATGGAAACCCTTATGAATGAACATGATGTTCGTTATAAACAATCTGTGCTTAACACAGATGTCCGGTAACAGAACACCACTCAGGGGCCGTTCCTCACAGTCAGGTCTCACTGTCATTGCCCAAGTGAGCACCCAAGTCCCTTCACAAAATGAGGGAGGGGAATCCTCTCCATCACCCCGGCCTTCCTGTGTGGAGTTTTCACTGGGTATTCCTGTTTCCCCTCACATTCCAAAAACATGCGTGCCAGGTTAATGGAACACTCTAAATTGTCCCTAGGTGCATTATGCATGTATGCATCCCTCCATCACTGACTACGGGCGAAAGGCAAACTACACTCTGAATTGGTCGTCAGTCAGTCGCAGAGCAAGAATGCATGTATTTTGTCCATATTTCTTTATATTTTGTCATAGATCTGGTTTTAGTGTCTTTGTCCTATGTGGCCCCCCCCAGTCGCATTGATGAAAAAAATGTGGCCCCAACCAACACTTAAGTTTCCCATAGCTGACCTAAAATGGTTCAGAAAAAAAAAGTGGTGTGATTTGAAGAAAAAAGTACCAATTACATATTCAACAGGAATGTTGGAAGTAGGGCGGCCCGGCAGTCGAGTGGTTAGCACGTTGACTTCACAGTGCAGAGATACCGGGTTCAATTCCAGCTCCGGCCTTCCTGTGTGGAGTTTACATGTTCTCCCCGTGCTTGTGTGGGTTTTATCCGGGTCCTCCGGCTTCCTCCCACATTCCAAAAACATGCATGGCAGACTGATTGTGATTGAACACTCAAAATTGTCCCTCGGTGTGAGTGTGGGCACAAATGGTTGTTCGTTTCTGTGTGACCTGCGATTGACTGGCAACCGATTCATGGTGTCCCCCGCCTACTGCCCAAAGACAGCTGGGATAGGCTCCAGCACCCGCCACGACCCTAGTGAGGATCAAGCCGTTCGGAAAATGAATGAATGAATGTTTGAAGTCATATTTTATATTAACAATAATAAGGAGCCAAACATGCCAGCATGCGCTCTTCTGGGCAGTGGATTTTAGCTTGATTGATTGCCTTGCAAGCACAAAAAGTTCTGCACTAGGGTCAAACTGTCACCATTACCAAAGTTTGAACTGTTTTAATGTTGTTAATTGTCATGTAGACGCAAAAATAAGTAATCCAGTTTCTCATCCACAGGAAGTGTAGTGCAGATGCCATGTCTCTCAGTCAACTGCAGCGGGGCGACGGTGGCAGCTGTGGAGGTGGCGAATGGGAGGTGGGACTTGCCACTCTGGAGAAGCAGCTGATGTGTCCCATCTGCCTGGAGATCCTCCACAAGCCCATCGTCATCCTGCCATGCCAGCACAACCTGTGCAGGAGGTGTGCCAATGAGCTCTACCAGGTCAGTACCTTAGTTCCTGTTTAGTTCCTTGCCCTGTGGATGCAGCCATCCAGAGGCCAAAATGTTCACCTTCTGCTGGATTCTTCCAAATGCAAGATAAGATGCAAGATAGAGCCTTAGGGCAGATGTTTTCCCTTCACATACACCACATTGCCAAAAACCAAGCAGATCTACTTAAAGAAGGGAAAAGAGCAAGATGGATAAGAGGGAAGAGTGAGAAATGAAACAATCTTATCATTCCATGTGTTCCATGTATCAGGTCTGTCCGAAAAACTCAGAAGGCTTTTTAACTAACATGACATTCCGTTACACTTCATCCTAAGAAAAGCAATCTAGCGTATGCAGTCAAGTGCAGTGAGGAATGCACGAACACGTGTATCAGGGAAACCAAACAGCATCTGAGCAGACGCATCGCAGGACACAGCTAGGCTAACTCCTCAGGTCAAGACTCAGCTGTCTACCTGCACCTAAAAGAGAAGGAGCAGTCTTTTGAGGATAAACATGCTCATATTCTTGACACAGAAAACAGACGGTTTGGAAGAGGAGTGGCAGAAGCATTTCTATGTGAAGGTGAGAAGACCATCTCTAAAACACAGGAGGTGGCCATTTACCTCCTACATCAGGGTCATTTGGAGCTGGAGCGCGGGTCTGGGTGAGGCTGGGCCGCATCATCTCTGATAAAACATTCCACTGTTCTCAAATATCTTTTTATAATTTTTATTTTTCTACACAAAATAAGAAAAAAGGAAGGAAATAAACAAATCAAAGAACGTAATTTCCGCTGGTACCAGATCGGATCGGGGTCCGTCTGTATATGATGTTGAGCACGGCACAGTTGGTGATTGGTTGAAGGTCAGTAACCATGGAAACACAAAGTGTTTGTGGTGGCTGTTTAATATTAAATTAAGTCAATAAAAAATTGAATAAAGTTTGAAAAGTCCGGCTAGCTAAAGCTAATACAGACAGATAGACATAAAACTTCGCTTATGTGTATGTAATAGTGCTAGCTCTGTGTTAGCATTTTAGCACTCATTTTCCCCGTTCTTGTGGGTGTGTAACGTCAGGTGTGGTGCTTTGGAGCACTCAGCTCCTGTGACAGCCACACTTGTTTATCTGTTTAAATGTGCATTCAGCAGCAGCGCCGCGTTATTTACATTCGAAGTTTACACATGTATTCAAGCTGGTGCGGGACTCAGCTGTCTACCTGCACCTAAAAGAGAAGGAGCAGTCTTTTGAGGATAAACATGCTCATATTCTTGACACAGAAAACAGACGGTTTGGAAGAGGAGTGGCAGAAGCATTTCTATGTGAAGGTGAGAAGACCATCTCTAAAACACAGGAGGTGGCCATTTACCTCCTACATCAGGGTCATTTGGAGCTGGAGCGCGGGTCTGGGTGAGGCTGGGCCGCATCATCTCTGATAAAACATTCCACTGTTCTCAAATATCTTTTTATAATTTTTATTTTTCTACACAAAATAAGAAAAAAGGAAGGAAATAAACAAATCAAAGAACGTAATTTCCGCTGGTACCAGATCGGATCGGGGTCCGTCTGTATATGATGTTGAGCACGGCACAGTTGGTGATTGGTTGAAGGTCAGTAACCATGGAAACACAAAGTGTTTGTGGTGGCTGTTTAATATTAAATTAAGTCAATAAAAAATTGAATAAAGTTTGAAAAGTCCGGCTAGCTAAAGCTAATACAGACAGATAGACATAAAACTTCGCTTATGTGTATGTAATAGTGCTAGCTCTGTGTTAGCATTTTAGCACTCATTTTCCCCGTTCTTGTGGGTGTGTAACGTCAGGTGTGGTGCTTTGGAGCACTCAGCTCCTGTGACAGCCACACTTGTTTATCTGTTTAAATGTGCATTCAGCAGCAGCGCCGCGTTATTTACATTCGAAGTTTACACATGTATTCAAGCTGGTGCGGGGCACCATGGGCATGGTCACGTTGTTGCTAGAGTCCGGACTCCGAAGCTGTCGGCCTTCAAATGAGACAGGCCTAACTATTTAGCACGGAGGTAGTGCGAACACATACAGCATCCATATCAAACTCGCGCAGGTCGCACTAATATTAAATTTTCATATCAAGGCTGGGCCCTCAAACTAACGTCCTGCCGAAAAAGAATACATGAAAACTGAACAAATAACATTTTTTAAAAAGCATTTACCCGTTGCCATTTGAACCCGACTGCAAATGGAAAAAAGAAAAGACAGAGGACAGTAAGTGCCAAGTGTTTAACAAAGAGTGGATACCAATTCAGGGAGGCCAACTATACTGTTCCCACTGAAATTGGTGAATTTTTCTGCTGTTATGAAAAAATGCATTTCAAAGTGAGCAGTGGAACAAAAAATGAGCCATGCAAAAATGCTTCTAGATTATCAACTTTGTTGGGTAACAAAATAGTTTGAATGTTGAAAGTGATATCATTCATCTTTTTTCAATTAATGTTGATTTCTTCTACCTTGCGCCTTCAATTGCAACGTATGAACAAAACAGATGCAATCTCCAGGTTTGATAGATCACTGTATATGAGCTGTTTTCACCTATTTACATTTTCCCCTCCCAGTATTGGGCCAAATAGCACAGAAACCCGCATCTCGCATATTCATTGACACAAATGTAGAGCGAGCTATTTTGTTTGAAAGGCGCAGTCCTCAGTTAACCTGACAAGAGCCACGTGAATCACTCAAAGGTGTTCTCCACAGTTCTTGGAGTGGTTGTGAGCTCACAGATAACTGTGAGAATTCAGCTTGCAGGCGAGGTTCGTCCTCAGTGCACGATATTAGTCAATTGGGTTGTACATTTATTTGTGCGTGCTTACTGTGCTATGAGATTTGCACACGACACGCGGTACTGTACTTAAGTATTTCTGTCCGAAACACTCTATTCAAACGTTCCTGGCCCGGCCCCTTTTCAAATTCATTCATCCATTTTCCGAACCGCTTTATCCTCACTCGGGTCGCGGGGGGTGCTGGAGCCTATCCCAGCTGTCTTCGGGCAATAGGCGGGGGGACACCCTGAATCAGTTGCCAGCCAATCGCAGGGCTCACAGAGACGAACAACCATCCACGCCCACACTCACACCTAGGGACAATTTAGAATGTTCAATCAGCCTGCCATGCATGTTTTTGGAATGTGGGAGGAAACCGGAGTACCCGGAGAAAACCCACGCAGGCCCGGGGAGAACATGCAAACTCCACACAGGGAGTCCAGAGCTGGAATTGAACCCGGTACCTCTGCACTGTGAAGTCGACGTGCTAACCACTGGACTACCGGGCCGCCCCCTTTTCAAATTTTAGAACCCATTGTGTTCCGCAAGTCAAAAAGTTTGCCTACCCCCGCGTTCGACTCAGAATCAACTCATAAATTTCGATCAACCAGACTCGGAAAATGTGCTAAATGTGGCCTCATTGTGCTGGCTAAAGGCTACTTGTACATAACCATTTGTAAAGATGCACTCAGACCTAAGTTTAAGGTTTCTTTCATTCAGACTTCGTCAGAGCTGACACAAGGAAGTAGTGACAGCTCCTACGCAGGCTGAAGTGACAGCCGAAACTGTGGGAGATTTTCTCTTCTCTAAAAAAAGACCACTGTCTGGAAAAAAAGAAACCTTAAGCCTTTTATGCACCCTGTAATCTGATAACATGATCAGCTGTCCACTGTCGTAACCGCTGTCCCTGAAAGGGTTAAACCTATTTTGACTAATATGTAGACAAAATCAACGATGATGCACTAAAGACATACACATATAAGACATTTGCAATTTGATGAAATCAACGCGAAATGAAAGAATCCAAGGTTGTTTGGAGATTTGTCCATGTTATTTTGAGAGTGTCATTTTTGTTTCAAAAAATAAGCCAAACCAGTGGGTAGAAACTGAAATATAATTTTGTGTAAACATGGTTGAAAATGCAAATTATTACCTTTCCAACCATGTTTATAGTTATAGTGATGAAAAGTGCACTCTTGTCACTCTCCACCTTATCATAGTTTTGATATGATAAAATAGCAAATATTAAAGCCAAAATGTATTCACAGTTATGACAAATTTCCCATTTATTTACATTGATTTCTTTGAAGTCAATTTGGGCTGATTCACAAAATAAAAAGTGCCAGAAAATCTTTCATGCTTAACCAATTCTTATCAACTATGGCTAATTTTATTCATGTCACAGACCCCTTCAATGCTCTATTTTATATTTTTATACATTTCCTTTTCTATAGGTGGTTTGATTTTTTTTTTGGAACATCCCTTCATCAGGTAAATTATAATCTCACCTCTTTCTGGACAGGTGTGATACTCGTTTGGATAACGTGTGGATGTTTGATGTTGTTCACTCTGGTCCGTGGAATGCTCAGGGAGTTGATTGTTCAGACACATAGAAAACATGACTGCATGACTGTGACCTACAGTTGACGCAGCAACCAAGCATGACAACAACATTCCCATTTGGAGCTTTCAATCTATGCTCTAAATCCAGGAGACCCAGCAGCAGCTGAGGCTTCCATCAAACTATTTCAGGACCGGGCTGCCCAGTGGAGGAGTGGTTAGTGCATCGACCTCACAGTGCAGAGGTCGTGGATTTGATCCCAGCTCTGGCCTTCCTGTGTAGAGTTTGCATGTTCTCCCCGTGCCTGTGTGGGTTTTCTCCATGTACTCCGGTTTCCTCCCACGTGCCAAAAATATGCATGGCAGGCTGATTAAACTCTCTAAATCAGGGGTGTCAAACTCCCTTTGGTCTGCGGGCCGAATACAGCTTAATTTGAGATCAAGCGGGCCGGACCAGTAAAATCATTGCAAAATTACATAGAACTAACAATTAGCCCACTTTTTTCCTTTGTATTACTCACTAATACTAATAATTAGTGCATAGAATGAGTCAATTATCAAAATGTTTATTAACAGAATTTTCCTTTTACATTATGAACAATATATTATGAACAAGAGAATAACATAAGAACATAAATAAAGTATGTGCAATTTTAACAACACTTTTACACAGTTAAACATATATTTAAGTGTGTTGTACATAAAACTGATCACAGAAATAGTAACAATGTTCCAAAAACATTTAGTACCAGCCTTGTGGAACTTAAAAACACTGTTTTTCAACATCTGGAAAGCAATTTGAACAAATGAATAACTTTCACAGCAATTATTCGTCTTGCTTGGAATTTGCCCTTGAAACTTGACATCGTTTATCCTGCACAAGTGCATCAATATGAGGCATCATGTCCTGAGAAGCAGCCAATTTCAGAATCTCATTCAAATGCTTATGTGTGAGCTTTGAGCGCAGCTTTGTTTTATTAATGTTCATTAGTGAGAAAACTTGCTCACAAAGGTAGGTTGTCCCAAACATGGACAATGTTTTAGCAGCTAGTGCTGTCAATGTGGGATAGCCTGGTAAGAGGTATTTGTAAAATGTGTCCAAGCTTACAGAGGCAAATCTGTCCTTCAGTTCTACATCACACTGCAAATCAATGATTTCAAGTTGCATGGCAACGGGCAAATCAGAAGCTTTGACTGTGAATGGTGAGCGAAAAACTGCAAAATCTGTTTCGAGTTCGCTAAAAACCTGAAATCTTTTCTCAAACTCCATCAACAGCCCTGAAATCTTCTCTTTGTACCGTTTCACGTCAGAATTAACGCTTGCTGCGCACATATCTTTTAAACAGGGAAAATGAGCAGGGTCACCGCTTGCCACCTGCGTCTCCCATAACCCGAGCTTTAACTTGAATGCACGTATGCTGTCATAATACTGTGTTATGATTTTTTTGCGTCCCTGCAACATTTTGTTAAGAATATTCAAGTGCTCAGTGATGTCAACCATAAACGCAAGGTCCTGCAGCCACAGATGGCACTGTAATTCCTTAACAGGTTTACCTTTTTTCTCCATGAATTGTCCGATTTCATCACGTAAATCAAAGAAGCGCTTTAGCACAGCACCTCTGCTTAACCATCGTACGTTCGTGTGATAAGGCACCCCATGGATAATGTTACAGTCACTGAGAAAGCTGTCAAATTGACGATGATTGAGACCTCTGGCTCGGATGAAATTAACAGTTCGGACAACCACCTCCATGACGTGATCCATTCTTAGCGATTTGCTGCATAATGCCTCCTGATGCAAAATGCAATGAAATGTCCAAAAATTACCTCCCCCATTTGCGGCTTGTACTTTATCTCTGAACTTTGTCACAACACCTGCCTTTTTACCGATCATTGACGGCGCACCATCAGTAGCCAGGCTTACGGCGCGTGACCAGTCCGCTCCGACTCTGTCCAGCGCTCCAACGACGGAGCTGAAAATGTCCTCAGCTGTTGTGGTGTCAATCATCGGCACCAGCTCGAGAAACTCCTCTGTGACATTCAAAGTCTTGTCAACTCCACGAATGAATATGGCCAGTTGAGCGACGTCCGTGATATCAGTACTCTCATCAATCGCAACAGAAAATGCCACAAATGACCCCACTTTGCGTTTTAGTTGGTGGTCCAAATCTGCAGAGAGTTCCGAAATCCTGTCTGCCACGGTATTTCTTGTCAAGCTTATATTGGCGAAAGCATGTCGCTTCTCAGGACACACAATTTCAGCAGCCGTCAGCAAGCAGTTTTTGATGAACTCTCCATCACTGTACGGCTTTGATGCCATTGCTATTTGGCTCGCAATTAGGTAGCTGGCTTTCACCGCAGCATCACTGGCTTCTCGGCTCCGGGTGAAGACAGATTGCTGTTTCTTCAGACGCGCCATCATTTCATTTAACTTCTGTTTTCTCAATTCTCCATGGAAACTGTTGTATTTTTCACCATGCTGAGTTTCGTAATGGCGCCGAATGTTGTATTCTTTAAGCACCGAAACTTGCTGCTGGCACACCAGGCACACGGGTTTCCCATTCACCTCCGTGAACATATAAGAACATGTCCATTTTTCTTGAAAAGTCCGACACTCTGTGTCTACTTTTCTCCTTTTTGACAAAGACATTTTGCTGATGAGGGTGCGAGGCAAACGGAAAAGTAGATGTTGGATTCACCTGGCGCTTTAAGAGGGGCGGGGCTGCCACTGACAGCTGACCGTTCGCGCAACGTATAAAAAGCAGCATCGCATTATGTTAAGTTAGTAAATACACTCGCTTCGTCGTCGGCATGGCCCAATGGTAAGCTACGTGTGTGCTTTTACCAGATATGTAAAGTTGGCTTTTAGATTCGATCATGATCATCGGTTGCTTTGTTTGTCTGCTTTACATTGTGTCCGTTGTGCTTTATGTTTGCCGCATCGCTATGCAATCACTGTCAGTTACCGTTCGCAATAGGCAATTTAAACTTTAAATAGCTAAAGTGTTGCTAGAACGGTGGTTTCTTTATTTGGATCATTTTGCATAGTTGTCATGTTTGTCCGGCTTAAATTAAGTAATTTGCGTTGCAGCTGGCCTTAATCATGCCGGCGCTCCACTTCCGGGTTGGAC